TTAGGTTCCAAAGCACAGCTCCATCTCTAATGCAGCTTAAAGCTCACGCTTAGTGTACTTTTTCTTCTCAAGTTTGACTTCACATAGAAAATTGACTGACTTAAACCTTTAATCACAGCTAGCTTTGGCCGGTAAGTGGCATTTTTGTGCAGAGCCCAACCCCGCCTCTGTGCAGGTCGTTCAGCTGGGTTTCTCTGCAGGAAGGTGCAGCACTGGAAGCGCCGTGGAGAGAACTCCGTGGGGCAGGAACTTGGTTTTACAGCTGTTCTAGCCCAAGATACGTACGAAAGGTCTGCCGTGCTATATAGTAGAAGGACATACGTATTGGAAGTGTGCTCCTTTCCAGGTAGGAGTTGTCGCTGTTGTGCCAGTACGGCCGTGCTTTGTGAAGCTTGTGACGGCAGCTGGAGGTAGCGAGGGACGCGCTGCGCTCCAGCCCCCTGTGAGGCGCGGTGGAGGCTGCTGTTCTCCTTCCTGACCGGAGCTGCGTTAGCTCACGCTTCCCGCACAGCCCGCGGGATGCCATGGGTGTTTCCGGCAGCCTGGGGGCTGGTCTGTCACAGAGCTGAGGACATTTCAGCGGTGTCTGGCCATGCGGGGACCCCTTTGCTCCACTATCCCTCAGCGGCCCTTCTTTTCAGTCGAAGGGTTGTTTGATTTATTTGCGCTCGCTGCTGCTTCGTTGAAGACGCCGTCCACGCAACTGCACATCTTGGAGAGGAGAGCGGTGCTTTGGAAAGCAGCAAAATGAGTAACAGGACCGGGATCACTTTGCAGTGTGGCAGCTTGGACAACACGCATGATGCTGTCAGATGGGAACATGATCGCAAACTATAAATATGAAAGTTGCAAGATTTTCTGCGGAAGTACTTACTTGGAAAGAAGAGTATTTAGGCAACACAGATCTCTCCCGTGTTTCAGGAGCATCGCCATCGGGCTGTGCGCACCCCAGCACCCGGGCGATAATCCCATCCTGAAGCCCGACAGTCGCTGGCCAGAAGCAGAAGGTCCGGTCAGGAGTGCAGCGGTGCGTCCCGGGAAGGGCAGATTAAATCACTTTGAGCAGCAGCTCCGCTCTTGCCTGGCCTTTGCCTCATACCCCTGGTCCTCTCTGACTTACTACCTGGAGAAGGCGGGTGTAGGACACGGGTGGGGAGAGCGGGGACAGCGCTCACCTTGCTGTGTCGCGGTGTGTCAGCACAGTTACCCACCTGTGCTGCCCCAGCCTGGCAGCTTCTGCGCTCGGGACTCCTCGCTGTAAGCGATGGCCTCCAAACCACGTCTCTACTATGTGCAGGAATTCAGATAAATCCCTCGTTTTAGGGAAGCCCTGTAGCTCTGGTGTTGGTACTGTATTGCTTCTACAAAAGCAAACCACAGCAGCAGTAACACAGGCTGGGAAAAAAATAACCACCTTGAACAGAAGAGGGGTTCCATCAGAGCCACCGATTTGTGAGGGGCTGGTCAATAAAATTCCACATTTTTAGAAGGGAGAGCAGTGACTTCTAATTCAAAGTAAAGGACAAAAGCTGGGTAATCTCCCCCGAACCAGAAGGAAGAGCCCTTAGCCAGCCTCAGGAGCAGGGCGCGGAATCACCGAAACGTCACAGCAGCCTTTCTGGTGTCCTCCCAGCAGGAGCCTGCCTCCATGCTCACCCGCTCATTAAAAATCCCGGAACAGCTTCCCCAGCAGCTGTAAACTGCCAGGGCTCGCCCTTCTCTCTTTTTTTCCCCCACAAAACTCACCCTGCAGCTTGGGAATCGTCGCATCCGCAGGCTCTGTCTCCTCTCCCGCAGCGTTATGGTTTGACAAAAAGGCATATACAAGTCAGAGTAGTCACATTTTTTTATTTTGACTTTTTGGGGGAATAGGGGAGCAAGAGTATACATTTGTATTTGTACAATATTTAACAATCACTTTTGGGGTCGGTTTGTTTTTGGTACTTGCAGAAAAACAGCAGGTACCTTTTGACAGTAGTACAACAACCTGTGCCCAAAACACTGACAAATACGAAGAGTAAAAGTTAAAATAATTGCTTACCAAAAAATCTCGAGAGGTAACGAATAGTATATGGACTGAAACGGCATTAAAAAAATAAAATTAAAAAAAAAAAAAGTACTGCTGGTTGAGTATCTGAGGTAAATGATGTTCCGTCAAGGATGCTACTTGAATCGTTTTGCCCATGAACAGATCTTGCAGCTTTCTGCATTTTGTACCAAGCGTTCCTAATAAAAGTAAATGTATTTTTTAAAAAAGAAAAGGTTAAAAAAGAGAAGCTGGGAAAGGAGCAAACCAATAACCCTGTTTATTCTGTCAGATGCTAATATGAACAGGAAACGTCTCATTCCTCTCTGGTTACAATTTAGTTAGTGGACCGCAAGCTGCTATTGGCAAACCACACCGGCTTCTTCAACTCTCAACGGAAGGTTGGAAGCGGCGGATCTCGGCCCTTGCAGTGCGGTTTGGGAACACCGCCGCTAGCACCACAATTCCAACAACTCCGAGGCGCGGTCTCCGCTCTGAAACGCTACGCTGCGCGAGGACGCCGTTCAGAAACTTCTCACCCTCTGACACAACGTAAAAGCTTAACGCTTCCGGTGAGGCCATGAAGGGGCTCCTGTGCCAGATCTGCCCTCACCGCTTCGGCTGACCTGACTGACAAGTTGCCAGCAAGTGAGCGGCCGCTCCTGACGGGACGGGACGAATCCTCGGGGCTCGCACCCACGTGCCACAGCGGTCACTGCCTGCTGGGAAAGGATGCCAAGGGGCCACCGCCAGCATCCGCCTTACTGAGCCCTGCCCGCTGCGCTGGCAAAGCGCTGCTGGCTCAACGCGCACGTTCAATGCTCCAGAAACAGCAAAAATGCCTCAAAATGCCCGGCGAGAAGAGTCGGACCGGAACAGCTCTGGGGACCCGACTGTTACCCATTAAAAAGCGTTTCTAACATGAACATCCTTTCCACGGTGACCTAAGTTCTGCTCTTCAAAGTCAGGAGGCTCGGAGTAGTACGGTATTTAAACACGCGGGGATTATCCAAGGGCAGTTTGAGAACACAGCGGTACGTTATCTCGGTTTTCCCACTGCCGGGCTTAGCGAGCGCCCTGCCGCGTCCCCACCGCTTTGCTGCGAGAACCCGCCGTAGCTGCGGTTTGAAGGCCAACAGATGATGCACATCTTGTACGTGACCAATTTCTGCATCGGATTTTGAATAAGAGCTTAGGAAACCATCTGTATTTACTCCGGTTTTGCTACTAAAGGGAGCAAATGTGCTCATAGGGAGCACAGAGCTCTGTGCTGAAGTATGAATGGATTCCGGTTTGTTCAGAACTCAGCAGCTACGTTCGTGTCCTGCCACATGCGTAAAGTCATGTCCCTGCATTAAAAATGGAAGCGAAATGAAAGCGTCAATCGAAGAAGGGGCCACAAACTACATTTCTTTCTTTTTATAGCCAAGCTGAGCCGCAGCGAGCTGGGTTCTTCCGGCCACCTGGAACCTCAGGCGTCCACGCCAGGAGCAGCAAGCCAACCGGCGCTGGCGGGGACGTTGCAGCTCTCTTCCCCTCCCTGCCGAGAGCGTGCCAGGCCTGGTTTATCCGTAAGGTCTCTTATTGTTCCCAGAGATCAAGGGCACGGACACGTCGCACGGGGAGCATCTCGTGGCTGTGCAGTCAAGGTAACACTCACAGCGAGCTCCCGACCGCAACGTGAAAAGCTGCTTTCAAAAGACAACGCGTGGCGTGAAAACAAAATGATGATGAAATACGCGGCGTACTACGAGCTATGATCGGTTCTGTACGCTACGGGTGTGTAAAGTTTCTTTCACTTGGAAATTTGTCTACAGGATCAAATAAATGGAGTGAAACAGTGCTTCTGAGAAGCACTTTGGCACCTCTCTACTGGTCACTTTGTAGTTTGTAAGGCGTGACTTCCTTAAACTGGGAAAGAATTGTTGGAGTTGTGAAAGCAATTTCAATGTTTTTCCTCTTTTTTTTGAGTCTGTGCTACGGACATCAGTATTCGTTACCTCTAACTAGTCGCTGCATATTTGCAGTCGCAAGCGTTAACTAAATCGTCCCTGAAATTTGTAAGCATTTCTAATCTGAGATCTGTGGCTAGAGTTTTTCGTACGATTCCAGGACAAACCTACGTGTCAGAGCCGTGGAGCAGCACTCGGCTAAGACGGCACCGAGCTTTAAGTAGAGCGAAGTAGAAGCTGCGGCTCTCAAAGCAGAGAGTAAGGAATCGGGGGTAACTGAGCTTCCTGAGGTGATCCTGAAACAGTGATACAGACCCCACTGCAGACCGTTAGTGAAACGGAACGCGCGCTAGGCAGACCTTTTCACAAACATAAATAAGTAAAAGACTTTAAAAAAAAAAAAAGAACAAAGATTCAGAGCTTTCCAGTGTCATAGCTCGCAGAAAATTAAAAAAAAAAACCTCATGCTTAAGTTTTCAAATATTCCTCAGACACAGCAAACCTAAATAGTATTCAGTTAAATAAATGTATGAGATATTCTGGGGAACGGAGGTAAGAGAAAAGCTTTAAACTAAAACAGGAAGGAAAATTTTGTTTCAATAAACAGCACTTTTTTTTTTTTTTATGCACAACAAGCTAGTACAAGAAAAGGCTAAAAACACTGCTTTAGGAATGGCCATTTACTGTTGGCATGAAGCATAGCTTACCTTTTTTAAATAACACAGTGAATTTGAAATACATCATTTACAAAACATGGATCGATTTATTATTCAAATTTTGTTAGTGTTGTCAATCTCATAATTTAGCGGAGGTGGAACTGAGGTATACCTTGTTGAGGGAGGTTAAGTAATACTTGGAAGCCTCTTTGCTATATCCCGCTTGATTACTTTTGTTTATGTACACTGAACAGCAGCACACTAAACATTCACAAGCTGTGTCATATTGGCATTACAATAGTCATTTTTATAAACAACAGCAAATGCAATAAAAACAAGTTACCCTTTTTTTTTAAATCTGAAATGAAATGTTGGATTTAAAAAAAATAACAGTAGTTCGTTTAAGGAATTAGTCTCTTCTGACAGGTATTAAGAAATCTGATGTCAGTTTTTAAAACGCTCGATTAGCCAGTACAGGTCCATATTCTTCATTTAAGTTCCTTAACAGCGTGTTATCGTTTCTCACATGTCCTTCAGGTGTAAGCAGGGAATGCAAAAAGTCTCACGGATCCACGTTTGGGAGGAGGACGGGGAAAAAATAAAGGAAAAAAAAAAAACCAACCCACACCTCTCGACGATGGTCCAGCGAGACTTACCATTCTTTTCACACAGAAAACAGCAATGACGGACGCAGTCCCGTTAGCTTTAGCAGCTCCAGTGAAGAGTCCCGGCGGTCAGTGGCGTGACCAGTGCAACTATCATAGACTGGATTCTTTGGGAGGAAAGTCAACGTTTGTCACCATTGTGACCACAGTCACGATGTCCTCTGTTGTTATAATGTTAGTTAGTTTTTGCATCTGAATAATCCGTTCTTCTACGCAACCCGCCGACAACCTGGCTTCTGCATCGTGATCCCAGCATTCCTCTATTGTTTCACAAAGCATCGCCATGCCCTGCGAGCAAACACAGCCAAGGGAAAAAAATAAGGGCACAGAGAGTTAGCAGCAAGTTTTACAAAGGCAACAAAGTGCAGTTTCAGGTACGCCTGCCAAATCCTAACCCTCCTGTCAACCAGGAAGCCGTGCCGTATTTGTTTTGAAACCCAGTGCGGCACACGGGCCCTTACGTCTTGTTTGTTTTGCGCCATTTCAACAGGACGCGCAGCGGCGAGCAAACCCTTTCCACCGCACGGCATCGTAGTCTGCTGGTAAAGTCATCGTGGTATTTTGAAAGATTTCATGCTAAAAGAGGTGTCCTGGTTTCGGCTGGGATAGAGTTAATTTTCTTCCTAGCAGCAGGCACAGTGCTGTGGTTTGGATTTAGGATGAGAAGAATGCTGATAACACGCTGATGTTTTTAGTTGTTGCTGAGTACTGCTTATGCCAGTCAAGGACTTTTTCAGCTTCCCATGCTCTGCCAGGCGCACAAGAAACTGGGAGGGGGCACAGCCAGAATAGTTGATCCAAACTTGCCCAAGGGCCATTCCATACCATACGGCGTCAGGGGCAGTATAGAAACTGGGGGGGGGGTGGCCAGGGAGCAGCGATCGCTGCTGGGAACTGGCTGGGTATCGGTCGGCGGGTGGTGAGCAATTGCATTGGGCATCACTTGCTTCGTGTATCATTATTATTATTATCATTATTATACTGTTACTATTAGCATTACTATTTTACTTTATTTCAATGATTAAACTGTTCTTATCTCAACCCAGGAGTGTTTCTCACTCTTACTCCTCTGATTCTCTCCCCCATCCCATCGGGGTAGGGGGAGTGAGCAAGCGGCTGTGTGGTGCTTAGTTGCTGGCTGGGGCTAAACCACGCCAAGAGGTTAAGTTCTTCAGCGAGCAAACGAAAGGCCAGTGAAAAAAACAAACGGTACGAAAGGGGATTTGCAGCCGACAGCAGCTCACTTTTCTCCAAAGCAGCGCTGAGCTAATACAGCGATGCGCTAATTGCAAGGAGCAGATGGTACCATACGCTCATTTTTCTTGCAGACAGTGTCATCTATTGTTTCTAACAACCCAGTTTTTGGAAAAAAAACCCAAACCAAAACACAAAACCAGCGCTAGGAATAAGTAGCGGCGTTACTGCAAGTCTCTAGCCATAAACCAGATCGGGAAAGCACCCAATTCCTCCCTAACCGATCCCAGAAATTTCTCATACAACACTGCTTACCCTACAAACTGAAAGTAAGAACACAGCATTCCTGTAGTAAATCAAGACTCTGAAAAATATTTTTAACACGTGCATTCAGAAGTAACACTCGAGAATCTCTTCTTTGGCCAAAAAAGTGAGCAAATCACTCACTTCCATATCACTTAACCTGAGATAGAGTATTGTAAGATTTACAGTCCATTTAATTCTTACTAGGATTACTAAACTTAAATTCTTCCCAAAGGACATTATTATGAACACAACACCGGATTAACAAAACTTGAAATTCAAATCATGATGAAACTTGTGAAGAACTTGGTTGCGTAACTACTTACAGAATGTTTTTGCCAACACTCTCTTAGAATAGGTCTCTTCTTTTTATGAACTACGACTTCTTGCATGTCTTCAAGGGAGGGATGCTGGCCAATTTCTTCTTCGAATGGCAACATGTACTCATCTACTGGGCCTATTGATGAAAAGAAAAAAAAAAGTTAAACCACCAATTTGGGTTTAAAAAAGGGGGGAAAACCCCAAGACTGGCATCTTAGACATGCAGTCCGTAATCTGCATCTTACGGAGCATTTTGCTTTCTGTCGCCACGCACAGCTCATCCCGTGAGAGGTCAGCAGCCAGCGGTGACCAAGGCGCTCGTTAAGCAGCCGTGGCACTGTCGGGGCAACGAGGCTTTGCTCTCCTGCGCAGGGCAGCCAAGCCCAGCTCCCGGCCCAGCTCCCTTCCAGCTGAAAGCTTCGAAACGCAAGGGCAGAGGGAGGCTCTCGGATCCACAGCTTCTCCCCCGCCGCCTCCAACAAACACAGCTGTGCTGAGAGAAATCCTCCTCCTCCGTTCCAGTGTCCTGGCTCGCTCGGTACCCCGTTACCGAGCAGGCGTCCGGCAGCCACTTCTGAACGTTTGCAGTACCACATACGCCGCCAAAACCCAAGCCTGCAACTGCAACTGCTGCGTCCTCTGTGAGCGCAATGCGTTTCCTCTTCCAATCCATACAGCCCAGGATGAAAGTACGTACATGGAAGGTGTCCTGGTTTCGGCTGGGATAGAGTTAATTTTCTTCCCAGTAGCAGGCACAGTGCTGTGGTTTGGATTTAGTAGGAGAAGAATGCTGATCACACGCTGATGTTTTTAGTTGTTGCTCAGTACTGCTTATGCCAGTCAAGGACTTTTTCAGCTTCCCATGCTCTGCCAGGGGCACAAGAAGCTGGGAGGGGGCACAGCCGGGATAGTGTACCCCAACTGCCCCAAGGGCCATTCCATACCATACGGCGTCATGGGCAGTATAGAAACTGGGGGGGTTGGCCGGGGGGCAGCGATCGCTGCTGGGAACTGGCTGGGCATCGGTCGGCGGGTGGGGAGCAATTGCATTGGGCATCACTTGCTTTGGATATTACTATTATATTGTTATTATTATTATTTTACTTTATTTCAATGATTAAACTGTTCTTATCTCAGCCCAGGAGTGTTTCTCACTCTCACTCCTCCGATTCTCTCCCCCATCCCACCGGGGCAGGGGCAGCAAGCGGCTGCGTGGTGCCGAGCTGCTGCCTGGGGCTGAGCCACGACAGAAGGCTAAGCGTAATATTTGTCCATAACAGAATCGGAGGGACAAGCTTGGTATGCTCAAATATAGATTAGAGAGCTATAGATTATATACCTATGTGGTATATGGTATTGTAATACATATTTTGAGTTCTCAGATCAAAAGTCTGAAAAAAGGAGGAAGGGGACCACAGAAGAAATGAACTTAATGAAAGGGACCAGACACCTTCTGCCAAAAAAAAAAAAAAACAACCAAAAAACCCAAAACAAAAAACCACAAAACCAAAAACCTAAAGAGACCCAACCATGTATTTGCAGCAAGAAAAACAGCAGCCGTGACCGTGGAGCCACCCAAAGCTGTGATTCCAGAAGGCGGCTTTGCCTCGCTCACGTCTCCCTTACCTTCTGGAATAAGGACCACAGCCGGCAGAGACCCCTGCGGCACACTTCTAGCGAGATTTAGGTATGTTTTACAGGACGCCAAGGCATGAAAAAATCACTACAGAACGCGGGGCTGCCTCGGAGACTTGTGCAAGATCATGTCGATCCTGTTAGTAAACAGCTTAACATTTTTAAAAGGGTAAGATCTCCCCGGCGGCTTCTGCTCCACGAGGAATGTTTGAAGCAGAAAAGCAGCGCTTGGAGCAGAAGAGCACTGCGCGGCCACGCGCGGATCTGCTGAGATCTCCAGTTCATCCTGGCTTTTTATGCGGCTGTCAGCCGCACCAGGCTCTCACGGGACAGCGTTATGACAAACGGCGTCGCAAGCCCAAGGGAAACCGTCACATTTGCTTAGCTGCATGTAGCGGCTTTAAAGACTGCGCTGAAAGTGCAACTTTCTCCCAAACATTTTTTGAGCCTCGTCTTTTGTCTTGTTCGTGATTAATCCTGATTTATTCTGGACACCCAAAAAAGATCTCTATTTACAAAATTTAACAACAGTATTCATACTTGAAATGGGGTATCTGCTATCTTTCCTTGATAGCTTAAAAACTGGATCCAATGGTTTGCTTTCAGGAAACCGTGATGGACCCACAGCTAACAACTATCAGCTGCAGACTTCCCAGACGTTACTGTATTTTCAGTCTCTAAGCTATCAACAATTAATTAGACATTCCCCCAAAGTTCTGACATCTGTATGAGCTGAACTAATGTCACATTAGTGAGAATACAGAGAGGGTAGGGAAGCGCTGAGCTCCCGTGGCACAGTCTCACCCTGCACCTGTGGCTAAACCAGAAACAGCGACTTTTCTGCGTCTCACTGCAGACAACCGACCTCCTGGTGCACCCAAGAGCAGTTCCCCGTGGTGCAGGAAGGGCCAAGGTGGCATCCCGCACAGGCTTACAAACAGCTAGGAAATTACTGACTGCAGCAGTCAGCTTTGTAATAAAACATAACGCTGACCTGGGAAAATTCTTCATGTCTTTAGCCTCACTACCTCGGGAACAGATCTCTGACACTAATAAGTGTCCACGCGCATCTTCCAGAGGCAGCGCTAAGAGGCAGGTCACCGTCCAGATGCTAAGGTGTACAGCAGGAGACATCAATTTCTCAGCGGGTGCTGGGGGGATGTTCTTGTACAAGGTTAATCTGATCGGAGCTTTTGTTTATGAAAAGCAGCAATACCTTTCAGATCCACTGACTGGCACTAAAACTGTCGGGCTGAACTCGGAAGAAATCAAACATGCTAGGTTAGGAGTTCCACGGTAATTCTCTCTCTTCCTTACCATGACCAGGAGAAGAAATGCAACAGGTATCCATGTATCAGAAAACTTTTCCCTGGGACAGAATCCTAGAATCATTTACGTTGGGAAGGACCTTTAAGATCATCCAGTCCAACCATTAACCTGACACTACCAAGTCCACCACTAAACCAATTAAGGGGAGAGTCATAATTTCACATTTCCTGGCTTGGTGGATGCCAAACACTGAAGAGACTAAATTATAAAGTGACTACGCAATGTTGGTGTTTCATTTGTTTCTCTGCAAGACTACCACCTTTGTTAAATTTTATTACATGCATACAATCTACCTTCCGATTTCTTGCTTTAAATACCCCTCTCACAAATTACATTAAATATTTCCATAGATCAGATACGTTGCTTACCATCTGAGGCAGTACAGCGTGATGCCAATTCCCAGAGGACTAATCCCATGGCATACATATCTATTCTCAAGAACGCATCCCTTTGGAAGTTTATAGCACCTTCTAGTACCTCGGGAGCCATATACCGTCGTGTACCAACCTTGAGAGACAGGAAAGCAGAAGAGTTTGTACACTGAGAATCAGCATGACCGCAGTCACCACTCTGGCTGGTGCCGATTACATTAATACCGTAGACCAGCACTATTTTTTGTCAAAGATTAAGAATAGCCATGGCTATCCTTGCTTAGGACTAAGTCTTGGGAAGTTTCTTGTATTCTTATATCCACTAGTAGGTAAGAGGAATTGGGAACATTCATATAGACTGGGCCCTATAAAGAATACTTTTGAAGCAGGAAAACCTGAATGTATTTTAAAACAACGCATTTACATAACACTTCAACATGTTTGTCACTGCCATTCCCTATTTTCTTCCGGATTACAGGAAGGCCACTATTCTTATTTTTTCATGTCAAAATAATTATTGCAGTTTCACGCAAGGATGTGAAAGTTGCTTATGTTTCTTCCCATGACAGGAGCAGTAATAAAAATACCAAAGGAAAACTAGCTACCCAAAGTACACTTTATACTGAGAAAGTTCCATGAAATCACTTGTACAAAACTGGCCATTAAATGAAAACTTTGGGGATACCCCTTCGTTTTGACCACAGTCAATTATGAAATTTTGTCACCTGAATAAATGGGAACTTACACGATGGCTGAGCAAGACCTGCTCCACTATTTAAACCTTCACAGCAATAGCTATGTTTCTCTTCAGCAGTGTTACTGAGGTTTCATAATCTTATTGTAAGGATTTTATTTTTGTCCCTCAACCATAAACCGTGAAGTTCTGCCTAAAATTAAATATATTTAGTTTTCCAGAAAGTGTAATGCTCTAAGCTCAAGCTTGTTATTTTAAAAGTACATGGTACTAAAAGAGTTCCCTGCTGTGCGACAAGTGCTTGATTAGTACTGTTGTCATTTCAGGAAAGTGACTGTTGCCGGGTCAGAAAGTTAGAAACTGGCTGCCAATATCATTTCTCAATTTCCGAGCAGCATCTCAGAACAATTAATAAAATACAGAAAGACCACTCTTTCTTGTCCAAACCCTCTAGTACGAATGAAAATAAGGGGGGAGGGGGGGGAAGGCTGTGATCTGTCATTATCTAAAAAACTGTTGAATTTTTAGCCTGTGAGAAGACAGCGCAAATTGCCATCTTCATGAAAGGTCACCAAAAATAGGGTTGATGATATAGTATCCTGTGCATGAAGAATGCCTAAACTATCGATTTCCACTCACATGCAGTTAACAGTTGTATCGTTTATGTAAATATACAGGCATTTACCTGTCCATGTGTATCCCCTGCAGACTTTCCAGCCTCAAACTTTAAAGCTAGACCAAAATCAGCAATACAAGCTGTAAGATTATTTTTCAGCAGCACATTCTTGCTTTTGATGTCCCTTTCAAGTTAAGGAAAAAAAAAATTAGCAGTCTAGGACATGAAATACCATATAAAGTTCTAAGGAAAAAGTAATATAATAAAACAAAGAACATCATAATATGAAAGGCAAGAAAATTATAAAGCAGTCCATTTAAACAACAAAAGCGTAATAATAAAACCTAGGAGTACACCTGCACACCTTTATTCTTATGGAAATATAGGAGACCGCAATTGGAACTATCACTTTATCCTTAGTTTTAAAATACATACAGATTTTTTAAGCATGTATGATACAAAAATAGAATAAAAATGTAGTTACTGCATACTTTAATTACAGCTACATTTTGTTTGTTTAAATAATAGGAAAGAAAACACTCTGAAAAATGAATCTTCTATTAATAGCCTTCTATACCTACCTCACTGAAAAAAACCCAGCAACTACACTCAACGATGGGCATAGCACCACTTACAGTAAACGTTTCTGTCTGAAGGCATTCAGTATTACTTAAAAGTTATATACATAAGCCTTTAAGTTGTTTCAAATAGCTATAAAGCCAATTATTTCATATACTGCAGAGGGTACTTAAATAATTAACTGTATTAAAAAAAAGATTTTATGATATTAACCACAATCACTACACCAAGTTCTATAAACCATCAGCTAGACTTTTGCTTAGCCTGAGCAGATTTGTCTTTGCTTAAGCTGAGCAGGTTTGTCTTATGATGCTCTTGATAATTCTGGAAGGAAGATATCACAGAGTAATTATTTGAATACTTCCTATCTATCCCCATTTCATGTCCTTTAACTCAAAGTTAAATATTAACAATCACCTGAAAATATTTTACATATACTATACCTATGTGAGATGGCAGGTTTATGTCCATCTTTTAGCCCTGGTATATCCTCATGAAGATAAGCCAAGCCTCGAGCCATAGTTTGAGCGATGTGACATAGCTCATTCCAAGAGACCACATTAGCCTTGAGAAAGTCTGTTAACGAACCCTGCAGAGCAAAAAAGAAAAACAATTACAGGATCAATTTCATTCTCAGCTACTCATAAAGAAAACTTCTAGATGGCCTCCATCGCTGAAGAACGTGACATACCTGTCTGCCTTTCTCTGTTTTCTGATAGACCATAAAATTATACGCATACATATGCGATAACTGCTAGTTAAAACAACAAAAAATGAACCTTTGCATCATCTCTAGTCCACGAATAGAACCGAGACACATCTACGCATCACCTCAACCAGCTCAATGAACTCAAGTTCAGTGGCACACTTGCTGACGAACTGCGCTTAACTGTCAGTGTCAGAAACGGGAACTAGACTTCAGATATTTAAGTTCTTTATAAAGACAACCCTGCATTTGCAAGGGTGATTTATAATCTTCCAGGCACAGGAAACTGCAGGTTAGATTCACCTTCAAGGATCCTGCTAAACTGTGTATGTCCATCCTCAAAGACCTTTAACTGATAGTTCAAGTCTTTCTTTTCTTACAGACCAGCAACAGTAAACTCCAGTTTCACAATACAGTTTCAGAGTGAAATACATACTCTGAATAAATAAAGAGATTAAGGAAAAAATCTAGTCAACATAAAGCACTTCAAACTCACTTCTACAGCCCACTCTATACACACATTTTCATGGATTTGCATATTATCCAGTTTGTGAGGTGTCACCGTGTCATATGTTGCTGTGTGAAAAGTCAACACAAAAGGCAAAAATGAAAAAAGCACTGACAAAGTGTAGAGGCTACACTTTAAAAATAAAATAAAAAATTCCTATTTTCCATCAGAGTCATCTCAGATGCCATCTTTCCAACAATAACAAGATTTTTAAAGCTCTTGGACAAAAAAGCAAACAAAAAATGGCAATAACCCTTCAGAAAGGCAAATCGGTTTGATATTATCTACTTGATCATGAAGATCTGTCAAAAATTTTAAATAGTTGGATACTTTTAGTCTTCTAAATGATTAAAGCAGTGGCTTAAGTGGGACAAAAAAGCCAGAATGAAGAATGTAATGTTCAATACTAGAAACATGATCTATGACCTAGCCTTAATGCATTAGCATATCCATATTATACAGATTTATATTTTCTCAAATCTGCTACAGGTAACATCTTCCTAATGGCTCTTTGCCTGTGCCAGAGCTAAATTTAAGTTTGGGGCTGTTTTTGCTCTTTGTACTTACCTCTGTGACAGTTACATGCATTTTTTTTTTTTTTTAAAAAAAAAAAAAAATCTAAGTGGACAAAATAAAACAGTGGGCGTACTCCTAATTACATAACTTCGTGTTTCTTACTGCGGTTAATCACAATACAATTGATAAATATTACTTCATTCTTATAGACACAAATAAAACAAAAATAAAATACCACAATCTTTGCAAGATGGAGTTTGTTTAATTTAGGCAGATTTAGATGGGGGATATTCAAAAATACACATTCTGAAAAGCAAAACAGTAGAATAAATTTTTGTTTGTTTTCTAAGACAACTCCTCTATTAAGTAAAGACTGATGACCTCTTTCTCAGCTGGCTGAAAATAAATGTAAAAAAATTCATATCCAATGAAAAGAGACAAGCTAAGAATAAGCAAAAACTATTTTAAGTTTTATTTCTTAACTGTCTAAAGTTCACCTTTGTGACAGCTATCTAAGGCTGTTCTTCCTCTACCATAATTGTAAAAAAAAATAAGAAACTCCACCGAGAACTCAACACACCTTTTCATGAAATGCTGTAATTAACCAGAGATCGACATCAATGCTAGTGCCTCGCTTCTCTGCACCAATGAACTGCAAAATATTGTCATGCTTCATTCCAGGTAAACTGTAAATTTCGTATTCGTTCTGCCATGACTGTTTGTCCTTTAAACAAAAGAACACATGAAACCAAGTTAATACCATAATAATAAGAGGAACCTTCCCTGACAGAAGTTTCTTCCTATAGTTTACTGTGCATTTGTAAATGATCTGTCAAAATCTAAAACCTTTTTTTTTTTTGGCAAGACAGCATTTACTACCTAAAGGAAAGAAAGCATAGTGTATGCTATTAACATTATGAGGCTGATTATTTAAAAATGACAAGTGTTTAGACTAAATATTTGTGCTACAAACTACTGACCTAACATACAAAAATGTGAAAAACTGTCTTTCTTCACATATATTACTTATTCATATATAGTGGAAAATGGTCTGAAAAACTTAAATTTGTTGCAAACAGACACAGGCTGTTGAAAACAGCGTAACTATCACGGACATGAACCATGGAAACACAAAGCTGTAGATTAGTATTGGAGTCTACATACTGCAAATCATTGTAATTGCTTTAGTCTTAAGAGCATGGTTCAATTTTTATATTTTATTCATCTACGAGAACCCCATAAAGAATCAGAACTAGGTTCTCCTTCTTAAAAATAATGAACAAAGCCTCAGATTTAATTTATGTTGTGCTGATGGCTGAAACCAGCATAAATACATGCCATTTCTCCTAGAAGAGTAAGAACTGGCAGATGTATTTATTCAGCAAGTCAACACTTGGTTAATCATCAGAAAACACAAGCACATTTCACCTCAAGTAGCAGTGGGTGTTTTTAATTAATGCAAAATCTATCCTAAAATTGTTGTGTATGATCACTTTGTATTCTTTAACTAGAGTGGATCTTAAAATTATGAGTACAATCTATTCTAAAACATGTTTTCAGAGGGTACTTGCTGGGAAGTAAATATTTTATTTCACTTAATTGAGGCTTATTTAATTAGAACAATCACATTATGGGTTTGCATTTGAGGACATTCCTTCCAAGTACAATTTAATTTAAAAAATATTAACAAATTCTTCTCAACTGATTGAGAGAGGTGTGAGAGCTTCTTAAAACTATTAACGCCAAATATGTATTTTTATGACTAGAAACATATAAATTTCATATAGTTCATGTTTCAGTAATATGTTTGCTGCATTAAAATACTTATTTTAGTTCAATAAAATTCTGCTTGCGCATTTTTCAGCTCACAACATTTCCTGCATTTAAGGATTTCTTTGGACTATCTAGATTTACAGTACATATTGAAAATTCCCTAAAATAAAGGCCTCTTATTGACTAGAAAAACTGGTTTAACGTTACAATACTACAAGCAACACAGGACACTAAGGACTTTTGCTCACCTGAATAGGGAATATTTTGACGGCAACATACTCATTTAGTAGTTGAGCTTTCCATACGCATCCAAATCTTCCCCTAGCTTTGATCTCTAGTAACTGCAATGGCTTCAAACCCATCAACGGCGAAGGTGGTGGTGGTCCAGGATCCTGAAATCAGGTTAAAACCATTAATTAACTTTGCTATTATGTGTGCTATCTATCATGACAGCACTAGAAATAAAGGCTTGTAAACTGAAAGAGACTTGGTATCATACACCCAACCCTCTTGCAACAGATTCCCCAAACAAACCTGAAACAAAACAGTAACCCTTCTCCACAGGAAAGAAAAATGAGATTGTAAAACATGCTCGGAATTAATATGCAAGCGACAGCATAACAACAGTTACGGTACAGGTCTGCCTAACCAGGTGTAAAAGCACAGCAGAAATTAAGGAATAAAGATAATCAAGCTTTACTTGTTACCTTTTTTAAGCGATAGAATTAAAATGAGCACCTTTGATGCATTTAAGGGTTTGGGGGTTTTTTTGGTGGTTGGTTGACATACGTGTGACCTGTTTAATCCTTTAGTTCACTGGCCTGGTGAACTGCACGCAGGCACAGAGCGCACTTCCATGGGACCAACGCCGCATCCCCTCAGCCGGGAAGCAGATGTCTACACACGCAATCTGTTCGGGGGCAGCAGTGCAGAGCTGCAGCGAGTCCCCTCGCTGCCTGCGGTTACCACTGACTGGTTCACTTCTCCGAGCTGTCGAGCTGACACCAGCACAGCTCTACTTCAGAAGCTCCGCTGCTTACTGGGGACGTAAGGTTGCAAACCAATACACAGGCAGGCAAGACAAGGTCTTCCAGGACGTAACTAATATTTTTTTTTTCATTCAGAAACCATTGAACCACATGCATAGTGCAGACGTTTGGCACAGGAAACCGAACGTCACCATCTCCACAGTCAGCGCTCCAAAGCCGCACGAACAGCGGTGTGAGAAACCACAGCACCGACGCTTCCACCTACCGACCCGCTTCTATTGCTCCCAACTTTTGCTAATGCAGAGAGCCCCTAAGTTACTGAAACGCGGGTACCTGGCTGTACCCCAGAAACAGAACTGGAATTAAATTTAAGAGATTACCTTGCCACACCTTAGAGCGTTTATACTTTACTGAGGGGCTAGCACAACAATTCCTTTTCAAATATGAGCACAGAAGCTGGGAAGTACAACTGCAATTGAGACAGAGCTTCCATACAGCTATCCACATAACCACCAACCTTACTACAGATTTGAACAATTTCCCTTTCTGGGAAAGAAAACATGATAGCTTATTGAATATCTTGTATTTTATATTTTACACATCTCTTACATATTCTGTATCACACACATCATCTGAATGTAACAAGCAGATTTTCAACTTTATTGCCAAAGATGTGCTTCTTTCTGGGCTGCCCTTCTCTCTCCAAATCTACCACATTAGATGAGCTTGTACCTATGTAAGCTTCTTCCCTACCACGAACAAATGCATCAGACTCATTTACTTATGCCTCTGCATCAAAGAATACCACCCTATGCGCAGAGCCCGAGAAACATGATGTCTTCTGTCTGATCCCTGTTTTCTGCAGGAAAATAAGTCAAGTTCTGGTGTGCAGTGGTCACTAAGCAGAATTAGCAATACTGTCACCATGAGAAACAGCTCCACCTTCCTTCCACAGCCCCCCAAATCAGTTCAAAGCACGACTTGCTGTTCGTCAGCCCAAATTACTACGGAGAACTGCAACCGTCAGTGCCAGCGGCGATCGCGCGGGGGCAGGCTGCTAGACCACAGATGGGAAGAGGGTGAACGGCTGCTTTTAGTGGCAGTGCAGGTCTGTGGAGACCACAAAACTGTACCACAAGTCTCAATATGGCATATGAAAGAAACAAACGTATAAATGAAAGGTAGGTGTCGCTTCTAAATTATATCCACACCGCAGAATACAACAAAAAACCCCCTAAAGTCTATTGTTCAGAAAGACCACCAAAACATACAGTTGGCTTCTCTATTTTTTTCCCCAGTCGCAGCTATAATGCTGTTTTAAAGAGAAAGAATAAAAATCACTGGCGTAGTTGCTTCTATGAAACAAATGAGAGTACTCAATAGTTAAGTATTTGAGCACTTCAGTTCGCAACACAAAAGTCTTGTGCACGTTAAAGACATTTTCGGAGCAACTATGGTCTTAAGTATACTTTACGATTGTGAGAATGGAGACAAGTGCTTCTGTATCCAACGCAACTTTTGAGTAGTTTAAGCGCAGGAATAAATAACCATTCTCTTGTTTCTTATTAAGCAACAAATACATCCCTCAGAAAGAACAAGTTTCATAGAGAGACAGATTTATAGCAATTTAAAGAAACCAGATTTAAATTCCACAAATTAATACCGGTGAAAGAAAATACAATGTTTGAAATTCAAATTAGAGACACATTACAATACTATCCTCAAAAAAAGTATGAAATCCTTTCGCAAGCATGACAGCAACAGATGCTTAAATTGTTACATCAAAATTGCTGGGTTTAAACTGGACAAACGACGATACAGAAAATGAAGTTGAAGAGTTAAGCTTTCCCTCCCGTGCTGCCTTTCATGCAGTGCCAAAGCCCTTCATGGACATTTCAGGCACCTGGGAAATCACTGTCCTCAATTTGTAGTAGTTAGTTACAAGTGAAACTAGAAACAAAGTGACCATATTTACTCACAAAAGTCTAATTTGTAAAAAAAAACCCTGCTATTTTTAAGAATCCTGAGCACTGTGCAGCATCTGGGGATTTAACATCAGGCAGTCAAACAACTTTTTGAAGTTTTGAACCTAGTGACTGGCCTAAATTAAGAGAACAGTTTGTGGGAAGGGAACCCAAACCTCACTTTGCTTTAGTGGCTAGGACAACTCCCTTTCATTTCCATATCCTCCACCCAAAAAAATCTGTCAGTATTTTGAAGCACACTATGCAAATTTTTTTCTCGCCCATCAAGCAAACAACCGCTTAACACTTCTCAAAGACTGGATGAAAAAAATTACAGCATCTATCACGAGAGAAGGCAGTAAGTCCTCAGTAAAAAGCGGTCAGCGAAAACTGGTGCTTCTTACCTTCACATCAGACCACGATACTGCTCATGTACCTGAATTTCATATTTCCTAGAAAATCCTGGCATTTCAAAATATTTTCCCACTACCTTATATAGCAACCTCCTGTGGTTCCCTGCACATTTCCCTTTCGTGTTGAAACATTCTTATGAAGTCAAAACTTCCGGCGTTCTTATGAACAAGCAACACACGCCCACACACACAAAACAAATCTGATTTAAAATGGAAAGGATAATTGCCTTCTGTTAACATAACTAAAAAGAATAGTTTTACAGGTTTTTTTTCTGATTTCTTTTTTCTAAACAACTTCGTTAAAAATCAACAGGCGTTTACTCTAAAACTACAGGTACTATTTTTATACCGAAACATTCCTTGACAGTATTTTCAACTTGCTCTACTTCTAAGCAAAAATGTCTAACGTGCCACAGGCATAATTATTTTTGTATGGCTTTTTAAAATCATCTCTGTGGCGCCAAGGATGATGATAGAATGTGAGTAAAGATGTAATGTGGGTATATTAGTCTAACAGCTTGCCACAGCGGTCAAAAAATAAGGGCCCAATTTCCCATTCCCGAGCTTTCCCTGTCCCTTCCCTTGGGCTGATGCTGGTACTTGTCTGACCACACAGCAAATCAAGGCAATATGCTGTATCGCCAGAAAGCTTTTATTATTTATTTATTTATTATTTA